TACCGGTCAGTTTCGTGGGACTTTTCATTGACTGAGTACGACAGTGACCTATTGTGGTATCAATGTCAACTACACGTCAATTATGACTAATAATAATGTAATTCTTAGAATTATTAGATATATATATATATATATATATATATATATATATATATATATATTACCAATCTCAACAATGCTCGTTCGTGATTGCTACATATACTGAATGCTACTAGCATTGAGGCTGCCTATTGTACCATATGTTCTTTTGGTCGATAATTTAAATATTTAAAAAATGAAGACAAAAAGCATACAGCCCGTCGTATGGTAAACAATCACTGTAGCCTCGTCATACGCCTACAACACTGGTAGTGTCACGTGCACATTGCCCGAGTTCTGCCCGAACGAAGAAACGTTAATACACTTTTCGTTAATTCGCAGTAAAATTAGATACGTAAATACGTACCTACTAACATAAACACATACATTATAATATATCCTTAAAAAAAAAAAAAATGACCAATACCATTTTCTATTTTTATCTGTTTGTTTAGAATCGTCATCGTCAATATAACAATCCATTAATGATCAAAATATTTTAATGTAATGAATAATTTATAAGTGAAGAAATCTGCTTATAGATTTTAAAATATAAACTAGGTATTATATCTTTTTTACCTCGTGTGTTTAGATAACAGTTTTAACATATCATTATATAAAAATAGCTGAAATAAGAAATGTGCTACAATGGTTGGTTATAAGGTCCTAACACAAGCAATCTTTGCTTAACAGGAGATACCAAACCCTGTAATGTAACTAATTACCTTTGTATAAAGAAATAAATATATTATTATTATTAAAAAAAAAAAAGTAAAGTAAAGATCTAAAAAAGATGGAAGGACTGTATAAATGATTGCGTGAAAGAAGATATGGCTAGAATGGCAATGAGTACTAAGGTTTTTTTTATACAACTTAGAATGGCAAACAAGCTGACGGTCCACCTGATGGAAAGTAGTAACCGTCGCCTATACACATGAGCAGTACCATGGACATGACAGAGTTTCTGTTTTTCTGTATCGCCCATGATAACCCGAATGCGTTGCCATTCCTAAGGACTCAGGTGTTATTTTCCTGTACCCAGTAAATTCACGCCATATCCCACCCTTCAAACCGAAACACAGCCATGCAAGCACAACTGCTTCACGAAGCTAATAAAGTAACTGAAAAGAGAGATGAATGGAAGAGAAAAACATATTGCAACGAGCCCTAGTAATAATAAGGAAAGAAAGATGATACCAGTCTTAGTTTTGAATGACAAAATTAAACATGTATTATTTTAGAATTTATTCATTAAATATAGTAAGAAATGTATTAAAATGAATGTAAAATTGGTGGAGATTATTGGCATAGGATTATTTATATATGTTCAGTAATATATAATTAACAATAAAAGAGTATATTCCTTTTTAAAAGGCCGGCAGTACACCTGCAATGCCGCTGGTGTTGTGGGTGATCATGGGCGGCGGTAGTCACTTACCATCAGGTGAGGCGCAGGCTCGTTTGCCCCCTGTGTTGTAACAAAAAAATACGTCTCAGATTTTGGAAATATAATACAATCCATGTTTCTCGCTAATTATGTAGCTTATTTTAGGCACAAAAAAGACATTTAAGTATTTTCTAAGTTTACAAAATTTACAAAGGAAAAATCAAATAATTTATTGTCATAAGTTTATATTAAACCGCCATTTTTTCCTAGAAGTAAAAAAAAAAAACTAATTAAGAAATTAAATAAAAAATTAAAACTATTGTGGTAAAGAAAGTGATTTCAAGTACAATTATTAAACAACCAAAAGCCGACAACAAAAAGCTATGTAAAAAAACGGAATTCTCTGAGTCGTGCTTTCTCCGCTTATATGCGAAATTGGCAGTATCATATAAATACTCAATGACGCAATACAACTTCACCTGTCAGCTGCACAAACCTGATGATAATCACAACAATATGTAACCTTTACTGACCCGTGATGAAGAAATCTTTTAAACGTTTCCCTGTTCATCTCGTCATTCTTATTACTTTCGTTTAAATGCATATATCTAAATCCTTATTATTATTATTAATGTGAAAGTAAGTTTTTTACCTGGTTGCACTTTAATGGTTCAACCAATTGTTATAGGATTTAGTACAGTCTATTTATGATCAAGAAATATTATAATTTCATCCCGGTTCATCAAAACGTCTCGGTCGGTTAAAGAGAGCAAGTCGTCGATGAAAGCTAGTAAGTAATTTCTAATCCTGATAATCTTTGGTCAACTCCTTTTTTAAATATTTTACTGAACTATTTTTTATTTCAGTGGTTATTTGATTTGTATTATTTTGTTTAATTCCGTTATTCCGTTCTATTATTATTACCAGATGTTCCACAACCTTCCATATTAAGCATCAATCTCCGATTGCCATTTCGTCCACGCACGGTTTGCGACACGTGTTTCACCCAACAAACGGCAAAAATAACCAGCAACTTCTTTTACTTTTTTTTTGTGCTTCTATTTATTAAATGTGAATAGAAAGAAACATTTATTAGGTTTTTGGATAAATTAGCAAATTATTAGATTTGCTCATTTATCCAAAACAAATTTTCCCTTGAAAATATAGATGATTTAAATGCATTTAATGAACAGTTTGAATTGCACGCAGTAATCAAAATGATTCGAAATATGTATGAGCATGATTTAGAATAAAAGGTACCTATCCTAATAAATCTAATCAAATTACCACTGATTTAGTCTTTCGTATTTTGAACATAATAGAAGAAAAGATAGAGGGCAAAAGAGGAAGAGGAAGACCGAGGATTAACTATATGGGACAGATAAAGCAAACACTAGGCGTCATGTCGTATAGGGAGGTCAAGGATATGGCCTGGGATAGAGCTGGCTGGAGGAAGATACATGAATTAGTTGCACCGACAAGAGGAAATAAAAATGAATAGTCTTTCGTAGGATAACACTTAATTCAGTCAAATCCTATATGTGAGCCAAATTTCGTTAAGATCAGTTTAGTGTTTGTACATATATATATAAATATTCACAATTATAGGTATCCCTTTGATCAACAGTGGACTGTGATGACGATGATGATAAAGTAGAAGACGTACAGACAAAACGACGCAAATATCACATGCTAAAACTAGGAAATCAAGTCAGTGATCAATAGGCTTTATGGTCATGAAGCTAAGCTATTTGTAGAGGGGGGAAAGGGATTGTTAACAATGGAGTTCGACAGCCCTATTGCTAGAAATATAGCCTATTAGGTCGACCTCCACGTGGTTCCCCCTGGAAACCATCGTGAATAATTCTTGTTGAATTCGTCACGATGGGCTAACTGATCTGCTTCATTCTCACCTATCATACTTCACTGGTGCCTCTCCGGTGTATACCGATAGCGCGGGCGGTACCATTCCATTATCATCCATTAAAAATAAAATCTATTTGTAGAATAGACAATGTAACTTTGGTCATATGTGTACGAAATCATTAAACTATACAGTTAGTCCAAATGCCATGGTAAAAAGTATGAATATGAACCCGTGGCCTATTATTTGGAGAAGCTGTAGCGACGTTGTGCCATTAACAACAAGTCGCATTCGTGTAGAGCACATCACATTAGATCTATTGCTGGGAATGTGGTCCTATATTCGACAATGACAATAGTATAGAGCGGTCATGTGTCAAAAAATATAAAAAATTACAATAGAATAGAGGGGTCACTCTATATATAAATAATATATTTTTTTTATCTACTTTATTCTTTATTGTATAGAAAAAAATAGGATTGGAGAAACAATTTTACATAATAGTGCACAAGGGCAAATTTATCTTTAAAAGAGATTTTTTCCAGCAAAACCATATGAGATAAACTAACAGTTTATTAGTAGTTACAAGCATACGTTTGTACCGATCGATTTAAATGTTACAGTTAAAAATAAATAAATAAAATGCCTATACTTTAAAAAAAAGCAATTTATAGTTCATTAAATACAATTATTATGGATTGGGTATCTATGTCCTACTACATAAGTAAACATACTATCATATACCAGAGGGAGACTTTGTACAAAAGTCGATTGCTTGGGTACCTCTGTCCCATTCGTGTTTCAACCGTGAAGCAGTTGTGCTTGCATGGCTGTGTTTCGGTTTGAAGGGTGGGATATGGCGGGAATTTACAGGGTACAGAGGAATAACACCTGACTCCTCAGGAATGGCAACGTATGGGGGGTATCATGGGCGTAACAGTATATTCTGTTATGTCCACGGTACTGCTCATGTCTAAAGGCGACGGTTACTGATTTCCATCGGGTGGGCCGTCAGCTTGTTTTCCATTCTAAGTTGTATAAAAAAAAAAAACTTGTACAATGTACATTTTTTAACCGTGCATTTATTTATTTAAAATCAACTCTATATTATACGTCCGCGTGGTAGAAATAGTAATTTTAAACATTTACAGCGTCAGCATTTGATGACACTGGTTGTTTATCACCTCAATCACATCATCCTCTGTGGTCTTCTTTATTACTGTTGTAAACTCGCCCGGTGGTTTTCAAAAGAACTACGGCGCACTATACTAAGCACTCAATGTGTGTGGTAAAGTGCCTTCTAATGCTTTAACGACAAACTGGCTCCCTGATGGCACTGCAAGGGTTAAGGACCCGGCCCGCTACCATGGAATAGTTAAGGGACTCGAGCTAGATTCTCATAAAGACAAAGTATTCAAATAGTTGTCAATATATCAAATGAGAAACAAAAAAAAATGTTTCCGTGCATTGTGCTAAAGTTAAAATTTAATACAATTAATATCTTTTATTTATATATATTATATATATAAATAAAATATATGAATTAAAATGTGGCATCTTCAGTTATTTTGTTTTAAAAACAAACTATTGCATCGATTTGGATAATATTTCTATATGACTAATCCGTATATTCTTTCAGATAAAAAAGTAATTTATCATATTTGATTTCAGGTATTCTTGTTGACCTGGTTCGTCTCGGCATAGAAGCTGGACATACAACAGTGAAATTCGTAAGTACTTGTTTAATACATTATAATAATATAACATTATAAATTATGTACTACAGTACATGTCAATAATACCTTTATATATATATATATATATATATGAATATATATATATTTTTTTTTTTTGAAATTTTGCAGATAGTTTTTATTTTTGTTTCTTTATATAGTATAAGTAACCAATAAGAAAGGAATTTTGAAAATTCAACACCTAACTGGGTGTTAAGAATTGTAGCTTAAATAAATTTCGCCTGGCAACATTTTTGCACAATAAAAAAAAAAAAAAAAAGTCTTGTCGGTTGTTATCGAATGTGTCGGTAGAACGTACGTTCGTTGTCGTCGTTCTCGTTTAAAAATATTATCGCACGCGTGCATATATTGCCGCGAATATCGTTTTTCTTTTCGTATCGCTTTCTTAATCATATCACACATAACCAAGAGGCTGATTGAGAGGAGGGCATTGCACTGCTGGTCGGTTCAAGGCGGTGGATAGGTAACCTGGATCTGAGGGTAAGTTCGAACGAGCCAGAAGTACTGGGAAGCCTAAAGCCAGAACCGAATCCTGCTAACTACAAAGTTTCAGGTCAGTGGTCTCCACTTTAATTATCCTCTTGTGTTTCTTATGTTAACTACCACCATTGTATTAAAATTTCATACAGTCCACTAATAACCGTTGCCGGACGATTAATTTCATTTTTTGTAAGATCTTATTTTACGAACGGTTAACACTGGGTAAAACGGGGGTTGGAAGCTTGTATGAAATTTCGTTACTTTAGAACTTAGATATGTGTACTTTAATAAATTTTATAGAACAAGTAATCGAATACCACATACAGACGAAGCCGCGGGCAATAGCCAGTATTGTATAAATAGCCATGTAGTCTTTCCCGTTGGGTGTCGTAAGAATCGACTAATGGAGGGCGATGGATAGGCGGCAGCGTCTCTCTTAAAACATCTCTAAAGCCTAACTGCGGTTGCCAATCCGCCTGCCAAGCGTGGTTACTACTGGCCCGGGGGGAAGGGATTGTTAACAATGGGGAGGTTATTCCCCATTGCTATCAATATACCCTATCAGGTCGACCTTCATGCGGTTTCCCCTGGAAACTATCGTGACTAATTTATCATTGAATTTGTCACAATGGACTAACTGACCTGCCTTTTCATCCTCACCTATCACAGTGTATACCGATAGCGCGGGCGGAGTTACCATGCCATTTTCACCCATAAAAAAAAAAACTACTGGCAATGTTCAGCAAATGTTCAGCAGTGGACAATTAAAGGCTGATATGGTGATATAAATCACATCTAGGAAGGCAACACATTATCAAGGACGTAGTCGTAATGAATTAATTTGTAACCGCAATATAAGGTAACCCATTCATAAAGTAATCGGTTAGTTGACATCATCCACACAGGTGCACATTGTACCCGAAGTTATAATGACATTACCTGCTGCGCCCACGCACCGCCGCGCCGCGCCGCGTCGAGCTGCCGCGTTTTAGCTGTACAAACTTTTTTATGTTCCAAATTTTATATTGCGTCACAATAATATTGTAAATATTGGAAATAATGTTATTGAACGTAAAGAAAAAAAATATATAAAAGATTTTTTTTATTTATTACAAAATATAAAAAATATAATTAAGTACTTTTTTTTATACCACTAAGGTGGCAAACCAGCATACGGCCCACCTAATGGTAAGCGGTTACCGTAGCCTATGAACGCCTGTAATACCAGAGGTATTAACGTGCGCGTTTGCGACTTTGAAGAAACCACTTTACTCCCCTTTTGAAGAGTACATGCGTAAATTTAAAGATATTAGCACATTTTTTTTTATATTCAGTAGATGAAACTAAATATTAATCATGAAAATTAATAATTTTTGTATTATAAGTGATACCAGAAGGAGACTTTATACAAAAGTCGATTGCTTGGGTACCTCTGTCCCATTCGTGTTTCAACCGTGAAGCAGTTGTATTTACATGGCTGTGTTTCGGTTTGAAGGGCGTGAATTTACTGGGTACAGAGGAATAACACCTGAGTCCTTAGGAATGGCAACGCATGGGGGGTATCATGGGCGAAACAGTATACTCTGTTATGTCCATGGTACTACTCATGTCTACAGGCGACGGTTACCACTTTCCATCAAGTGGGTCGTAAGCTTGTTTGCCATTCTGAGTTGTTAATATATATATATATATATATATATATATATATATATATATATATATATATATATATATATATATATATATATATATACATACATAAATTTGTGACAACCCTATTCCAAATTCTTCTAATAATTATTGAATAATTGCTTATAAAAACGATTATAAAGAAGACTGTAAAAGAATATTTTAAATTTAAATTTGAAATTCGAATTTGAAATTCTTCTGAAATTTAAATGAAAAATTGAAGATTTTTTTAAACTGTCGGGAAATTTTGTAAGAAAACAAGGGAGACTTTTGCCCAAAATGGGGGAAAATGGGTTAATAGTAATAGATACAAATTTGTTCAAGAGTAAAGTACGATTAGACGGTCTCATCGGTCGGTACATCGGCGGCTATTGAAGCGTGTGAGGATCACAACGGCATCTGTGTAACCGAGCGGAAGCTGCGCCGGCGCCGCGCGCTATTCATCGAGATAGTACTACCACACAGACACACTCCAACGGCTTTTGCGAAATGTATTAAAGTTTTATTTTGACAGAATTAGAAACTAAATCAATAATTTAGGATTTTATTCCTTATATAGGCCTGTATTATCATGAGTAATGAGGTCAAAAATACCAAACGGATTTTAGAAAAAAAAATATTACGAATTTTAACAATAGTATTAAAAAGTTTATTGCTTAAACATATGTAATAAATAAACATGTACATAATTGAAAAATAAAAAATGTGAAAAGGCTTAAATAGTGTCTAACATTCCGTTTAAACTGCTTATATATAATAAAATTAATATGGGACCGAAATGATAACAAAACTAATTCAAAACAATCGATTTTACTTCCACGTATTTGCAGAATGTACATCGGGTAATTTACTAGCTTGATTATTCGTATTTTTTTTTCTTATATTTTTGCTAGAAGGAAAAATTAAAACTACATAGACATAAGTAATAAATAAGTTTGTTTTCTATAAAAAACACCGACTCCAGTTGTGGCAAAATCCGTTATTTTTATTTAAAAACTAAAGTACAAAACCAATTTTGATAAAATTTCTACGGAATCAATCTGTTAGTGTAATCCAAATCCAAACCGGTTTATAACGGACAGAGTTATAAGGTAACAAACATAAAAAAAAAACATACCCGAAACGAGAACCTCTTTTTTTAAGTCGGTAAAACTGTAAATGATGCTACAACACATCCAGGTGTTATGTACGTATATGTTACATACGTTACATCACAACGTTAATTTTTTTTTCTGTCTCTATTATTTTGTTTTTGTTGATGTTGAACATACATGCTCATATTTATATTGTTATAGTTATTTATACAGAATGCATATAAAGCTTATGTATATAACGGTGGGGGGGGGGGGGGGGATTGTTCAGTAAAGAATACTGTCTTAACAATAGGTTTACTTATTAAAACAATGGAAAAAATATATTAATCTATATAAAGGTTGTCTGTAAGAGATCGCCCTAGCGATAAGACCGCCTTTTGTACCTTTATGTGTATATTTCAATGTGTACTGTATTTCATTTGAATTATTCACTTGTCATTGTATATTTTTATTTATGGTGCAATAAAGAGTTAAATAAATAAATAAATAAATAATCTATAATATATTTTTTCCATTGTTTTTTTTTTCCATTATTTGCGGCCAGTCGTAATAAAATTAAAAAAAAAAATTATGAATAAATACTGATTTAAATTTCGAACACAATATATCAGGCTATGCTTGCCACCTCGATCTACTTCAGCTAATATGCAAGCCATTTATACTAGTAAGTATTCCTTCACTCTAGCTGCATGTGAACTGGCGAGAGTACGAAGCCTTCAATTAACCAGCCTTAAACGTTTCTAATGATAGCTAATATTGTTTAATTAAAGGCAAAAAAAAAAATATTAGATATGTTAAATACTTTAAAAGTTTATCTAAGTAGATAATAAAACAGGCTTTTTGCGGATTCTTGCATTTATCCATGTGTTATGTGGATGAGGATTTGTTTAATTCAGTGTGATAAATTCAGGCCAGTCTCTAGATTATATGGATTAAAAAAATATATGTAAAGCTTCGAAATACAAAGCAGTGTATAATAATAATTTTATTCAAGTAAACTTAATAATAGGCATTTTTTAATAGTCATTTTTTTATGAAACTACCGTCCAGTTCGGAATGCAATTTTAGCTAAGAAGAACGGGCAAGAAACACAGCTGTTGTTTTTTTCAAATATAAGTTAAGTTTAAAATAAAAAAAATATGACCGGGTAAAATGACTATTACAAACTTCGTATTGATAAAAAGAAAAAAAAAAAGCTACCAACTATAAGCAGTTTTAATATAAATGTATTATGAAATACTCATAATAATTCCGTCTTAATACAATATTATATAATGCAATTATTATTCTAAGTAAGTTTATTTTGTTATGTATACATTGTCATGTCAGTTTTATCAATACTTAGATATATAAGATTTTCGTTGACTAGAACGATTCTTTTATTTTTCTATAATGAAATAAAATCAACTTTTATTTTTAAAAATATAAATAAATATTCTTATCAATAGAAGTAATATTTTTATCATAAATATATATATTTATGAAATATTTTTATTTTACAAGATTCTAGTTTGCAAAGACATTTAGGTTTCAACAAATCTTTTATTTACCCTCGAGATTATGACAGCAAAATTCTAATTAAAATCTTTCGATAGAGGCATAAAAAAGAAATTTATTACAACTTTAATAAAGACAATAGAACAAAGTACAAGAATTTTTATAATTATTCAGTGTTTATTTATTTATTTATTAGTACAAATATGTGTACATGGC